GCCGATAAAAGCGAGTGGAAGGGGGGGGTGGGTTGGGGAAGGGCTGGGGCAGGAGCTGGCTCACCCCAACGCTGGGCAGCAAGAGAATCCAAAAGTGCCTCTTCCCTGCTGGACTGTTCGCAGGGCTTGAAACAGCTCTTGTGCCGCAAAAGGAACAGGAAGTCTCCGACCAGACATGTTCTGTCCACAGAGGGGGGAAAGAAAGTTGAACTGCAAAGTTTAGTGAAGAAGTGCATCGGCTGTGCAAAGTGCCAGCAATGGAGGAAAACCACGGGTTAAAGCAGTTTTGACACATCTACACTTGTATGTTTTTAGGTATTATCATTACTACTGTTATAATCTTGCCATGACTAGAATTTTAAATAGTTAATAACAAAAAGAGTTAGAGGAAGTAAGGAAAAATATTAAATATCTATAATGGTGCAGTTTATTACACAAAGTTTTAATAAGATGGATATTAGTTTTAGGAGCTGTTTTTGTAAAATTTTATAAACAAACTCATTGCATTCCTGTTCAAGTTATGGACGATGGGACAATAGAAAAGTAGTAAGTAACATATTTTAAAATATATTTGCAATCAGTCAACACGTTTTGAAGGTTCAGTGCACACTTGCATAACAGCTGCATATTAATGGAAAAGAAAATCAAGCCTAGGAGACAGTTATGGTGGCTGTCACCCCTCTGCCATTTTCTTCTGTAACTCATCTAAACATTTTTGGGTGTAATTCACCTTTCAAATACTCAGTCTTTACAGTTGGTGTATTTCTTTCCAGCTTTTAAATTCTGAAAGGGTTACAAGTTCACCTTCATGAGATTGGTGAACCAAATCTAGAAAGAAAACTAAAAAAATTTTAGGACTTTTTTTTTGATTTACTAAAACTGAATTTTGTCTCATATTTGTATCAAGGATCCAGCTATTAAGTGCTTGACTTTTTTTGAGTTAGGGTCCATGTGGTATGTGTGTACTGTATATAACAATGCAGAACTTATTTTAAGTATTTTCTTATCTGATTTGGTGAGAAAAGGGAATAGGTGCTGGGATTCTGTGTATATTCGATAGTGTGGGAATGTGTTATGATGTTTTAAAAATTTCTTCTCTGTCCTTCTGTTAGACCTGTTTAAATTTATATAAATCCATTATTTTAAAATAGCAGGTTATATCTGTAGCAGATATTTGTAAGAATGCAGACTTTTGTTTTTACTGCATTAAGTTGACTACACAATAAATTTCACTTGGCTTTACACACCTTTAAGGGGGCTATATCTTGACGATTAGTGTATTGCAAGATTGTTCTAAAGAAATGGCTTTGTGACCCTTAAAATATGCACCCACTTCTGTAGCTTATCAAAAGTGCAGTATTTTATGGTCAAGACACAGGCAAAAGGGTGCTTAAGACTAGTTTAAGTACGACATGGAAATTTTAACTCGTCTGCATGTTATAATCAGATGGCAACAACTACAGATACTTTTGAACAAATCAGATCTCTGTAATCTATTGTAACACTGCTTTCCAAAACCTTAAAGATACATTCTGTAAGAATTAGATGAACTGATATGGCTTGAGTATTGGGAGTTCAATGGATTTTCTATGGTGAACTTCAACCACTGTCACGATATTCCCTGTATACATACATACACATACACATATTACACATATTAAGTACATATTGTATACTTATTTTTTATATATATATGTTCCCTAATCATCAAGTTTTAAAGAAATTTAGGCTAATAGGCATTAACTTCCAAACAACGTAATAGAAATAGAAAAAATAAATCTCTTATAGCACCTCAAATGAGAAAACAAAAAATGAAGCCTTTGCTTCACTTCTGTCTCTGTCTATTGTTTGTGTTGTTTTTTTTTAACAACATAATAAAGGAATTAAGTATAATTTTAAAAAGTTATTCCTGTACCAGAAATAAACAGTTGGTGACGTTTACACTTGCTACATTTACATAAATTCAGTACAAAGTCTGATACAGAAATCTGCATGCATAGGTTCTGTGGTTTATGTACACGGAGTTTACATGGAGACAATAAGCAGAGATACACGCTGTGGTTTATAAACTGGTTTATGTATGTAAATATTTTAATGTGGAGGAGGCTGGGATGAGGAAGGAGACAGGGTAAGAAGGCAAAGCCTTCTCACTGACTCAGATAAATGAGATGATTTTTTATACAGGTGATGAGTCCTGCAGCTAGAGAATATGTGACAGTTGCAATATTTCAGCTGTCCTTAGTTCAGATAGTGGGTTTTTTTGTTATTGGTTAGAGCTATAAAACAATCTACAGGCTTATTGCTTTTCTGTTAAGAGTCTGTTCAGTTGTCTACTAGATTTATTCTGAATTACTCTATTGTGGAAAAAATATATATCTGAAGTGCATTTGCATATAAATCTCTATATAAAGCAATTATACAAAGGCTACAGAGTGCTAAAGGTGATTTCATATATTATTTGTATATCGTGGATAATTACTAATATAAGGATACATTCACGATCAACACTGGCAGTCTTTGTATAGCTGCTCATTTGACAATATTTAGAGGTCTGTTCTGAACTGAGTAGATCCGGATCTAAGAGGTGGACTATCTGTCAGAAAATGTCATTCTTGGGAGCTGCATCTTTTTCTATAGAGCACTTCTTTTTCCTTCTCTCAGTAGGATTGTGCTGACTGTGCTAATCTTTATGAAAATACATACAGCAAGAGAATCCAATACGGAAAAGTACTCAGCTTCATAATTTATCATTGGTTTTATTTTCTTTCTTTCTTTCTTTTACTTTTTTAGTTTTTACAAAATTTGCAATGGCTCCCTACATTGAAAAGGGCTGTGTAGGAGCCCTGGAAAAATGTCTGACATATAAAAAGATATAGAAAGCTTTTAGAATACTCATGCTGATGAGGAAGGGGACAGCCATAGGGACAGGTGAGGAGGTGAAAGTTCTGCGTGCAGTCGCAGACAAAGGGAGGATTAGATTGTTCAGAGTTTGGTTCCTTTACCCTGCTGTGGTGCCTACTTCTCCATTTTCCTTGCATTGCTCTCTCAAGTTTTGCCCCTCTCCTCTCGTTTCCTCCACCCTCCCCCTTTTTTGTGTACTAGACAACTACTGAAAACAAAGTTGTAACCAGTGATTTCTTAAATTCTGTTCTGTTTCAGCAGGTATATATCTAAGCAGGCATTAAAGCAGAATTTTGATCCCCGTGAGGCTCCACGTGATACATACCTACTATGCAAACTGCAGTGGGGTGAGACTGGCGAGCGTTGGACACACTGGGTCAGAAAAGATCAATGCCATGCTGAAGTCTACTTCCTGGAGAAGGTCTTTCAGACAAGAAGATCCAGTAAATATATCAACTGTTACATCACCTGGTACTTGTCCTGGAGCCCCTGTGCAAACTGCTGCCGTAAAATACTGAATTTCTTAAAGAAGCACTCATATGTGAACATAGACATACGTGTAGCACGGCTTTATTACATACAAGTTGAAAGAAACCTCCAAGGTCTGAAGAAACTTGAGAGCTTGGCGAATGTAACCATTGGTGTCATGAAAATTAAAGGTAAGGTTTCCCGTGCTTTGTGGGACTGGGAAGGGGTGAACTGGTGAACTCTATGCGTGGGTGAATCTGGTATGGGCTTGCTTCTGTGCCTAGTGTCCTGCTCAGCTTCTTTGGGGGCACATCCATCACCATTCAGTGACTGAATGTCACATCCAAAACCAGATGTTCAAACATTGCAGGGGAAGGGACACAGGACTCTTACCAAACAGACCTGTATGAAAATTCTCCCTAGTTTAAAGACACCATCTTTCTGCACTCCTGAGGGGATGGGAGATAGGGTGCTTCTCCCTTGTCCTAGGGGACTAAATGCAGCTGCTGGGATAAGGCTGGCTGAAGGACCCCTCCTCTGATAAAAGGCGGGGAAAAAAAATGCCCAGGGAGAATGGCATTGGTTCCAAATGCACAGCATCCATCAGCTGGCCTGTCCACAGCCAAGCTGTTTCTGTGGCATGGACACAAGGAAGAGGTTGAAAAGTCTTGTTCCCTGAGCTTGTCTGGTATCTGAATAAACTCAGGTTAGTCATCTTGCTTCCATTTCTCCAGACTATACTGACTGTTGGAAAATCTTTATCCAAGGAGACGCTGATGATGATTCCTGGACTGTGGGCTTTCAAGCAGCGATAAATGAGATTTGTTCAAAGTTCAAGGCCATTTTTGAGGTTAGTAGACTCTGAGGGATAGGGGGAACCACGTCAAATTATTTGCAGCCTGGGGACACTGACCTGTAAAGAGTAGAAAAGAAGCTGTTCTTATCTAGTTGGAGTTTAGAGTGCTGCAGCATGCTTTCGGAAAAAGTGATATGGTAAAATCATAGGAACTATCCTGTCCCATTGGGAGAGAAGCACTGTGGATTTTCTTCCAGCATATTACAAAGCAAAGGCTAAAAGTGCAGCTTTTCTCCTTCAGGCTCCGGAATGGGAAATCGCTTGACTATCAGCTGAAATGCTAGTCTCATCCCAGAAACCCTCCAGCAGATTCCTTTCTAATTTGGATCTGAGCATGGGTTTCTGTTCACCAAATGATGCTACTCAGCTGCTTTCTGTCAGGACCTGCAGTGGTCTGACACCATCTCCCAGTCACTGGGCCCCTACATTCTTCACTAACATCCCTTCCAGATTTGATTCAGCAACCTCCCTGACTGGTCTAAAGGATACAGTTTCTACGAGATGAGAAAAGCTGTTCAAAAGAGAAAGTCTGCCCCTTGGGAAAATCCAACCTTTGTTTTTTGATTTGTGCCAGACCTCCTGAAAGGCAGGAGAGAGAACAAAGAGTGTGTTCACCAATGGTGCTGAATGTTTATGCTCCTGGAGACAAGGCAACCTGCTTGAATGAATAGGTCCACATCCTTGGCCTGGAAGGACTGCGTACAAAAAAAAATCTAGCAAAACTAATATAAGTTCTGCAGCATTTTTATTTCAATGTATTAGAGTTTTCTGACAAATGCTATTTTTAGTGAAACAGAGTGAAAGAAATCTATGGCTAGGTAAGTCACTGAACACCTGGGAAATCCATTTTATATGGCATCTGTGGAAAAGAAGAATTCTGGGCTGCCAAATCCATTTCAAATCACACCAAGTCCAAAATTCAATTGTTAAAGGATCTAAATGTTATATTTTTATTTCCATTTCAGGGTCTTCCATTCATAGAATCACAGAATCATAGAATACCTTGAGCTGGAAGGGACCCTTAAGGATCATCGAGTCCAACTCACCGCTCCTGGCAGGACTACCTAAAACTAAACCATATGACTAAAAGCATCGTCCAGCTGCTCCTTAAACTGTGACAGGCTTAATGCCGAGGCCACTTCCCTGGGGAGCCTCTTCCAGTGACTGATCACCGTCTCAGTGAAGAACCTTTTCCTAATGTCCATGCTGGACTCGCCCTGAGTCACCAGTGAGAGGAGGTCAGCACTAAGATTACTCTGTCCCAGGTGGAGAATCCGGTGCTTGCTCTTGTTATATTTCATGTCATTGGCGATTGCCCAGCTCTTGAGTCTATCCAGATCTGTCTGTAAGACCTCTCTGCCCTCGAGGGAGTGCACAGCTCCTCCTAGTTTAGTATCGCCAGCAAACTTACTTAATGTACATTCAATTCCTGCTTCTAAATCATTTATAAAAACATTAAAGAGCACTGGCCCTAAAACTGAGCTGTGGGGAACCCCACTGGTGACCGGTTGCCAGCCTGATGTAACTCCATTTACTTTGAGCCCAACCTGTCAGCCAACTGCTCACCCAACGTACTGTGGACTTGTCTAGCTGTGTGATGGACATTTTATCCAGAAGGATACTGGGAGAAACAGTATCAAACGCTTTGATAAAATCCAAAACCACCACATCTACTTGCTTTCCTTGGTCAAAAGATGGGTGACCTTGTTGCAAAAGAAATTAAGTTGGTTAAGCAGGGCTTTCCCCTTTTGAGCCTGTGCTGGCTACAACCAATGACTGCGTTGTCTCTCAAGTGTTTTTCAGTAACCCTCAGAATAAACTTCTCTATAATTTTACCAGGCACTGAAGTGAGACCGACAGGCCTGTAATTACCAGGGTCTTCCTTCTTACCCTTCTTGGAAACTGGGACAACATTTGCCAGCTTCCAGGCAACTGTTACCTCTCCAGACTCCCAAGACCACTGAAAAATAATGGGGAGTGGTCCCGCAGTAACATTGGCCAGCTCTTTCAGCACCCTGTGATGAATCCCATTGGGCCCCATAGATTTATGTGCCTCCAGCTGGAGCAGCAAGTCTCGAACAAGTTCATGGTTGGCTGGCAGTTTATCATCCCCCAGTTATGGTCTTCCAACAAAGGGCTCCGAGAGTCTCAGGACCCATGATCTGTGTTAATGACAGAGGCGAAGAAGGTATTAAACATCTCTGCTTTGTCTACACCCCTATTTGTGAGGTGACCAACCTCATCAGGTAATGGACCAATGCTATCTCTGATCCTCTGCTAAGAGATTTCACCCACAGAAGATGGCCAGCTGCCTTACTGCTTGTGTGTAGAAGATAACAAACATAAAATGTTGCTAACATTCCCCAGTTTCTGGGAGTCTTGAGTATGCTGGACAGTGCTAAATATCCCAAAAATAAACTTCTGGATGTGGAAATGGAGGCAGGTAGCAGCCAGAATGGGGAACAGTGTCCAAAGCCCAATACTCTGCTAACATTGTTCTTCCTCTGATGTGGCCCAGTGGTGCACAGGCTGATGGGAAAAGGGCAGTTAAAGAGGACTGCCAAGTTAGCACCTGAACAGTTGATTAATTCAATGTAACTTACTTCAACTGAGGCATTTCGATGAAAACAGACTATTTCTTTGACTCTTGAAAAAATTAATCTCTGGCAAGAGAACATCAGGGTGCCAAAAGGAACATCTCTGGAGATTTGCTGTCCTCTCGTCCAACCTTATCTCCTACCTCATTCTGCAAGAGGAACAAAAGTGGACCTAAAAGCACAGAAAATGCCCCGTCAGGGCAGAGAGCATAGTCCAGACACTTATCTAGTAGTGGCAGGAGGAGATGCTTTTTAGGGAGAGCAGGCAGGGCCAGCCACTGTCTGTGGTTCATTATGATCCAGTCACACTTCCTCAATACCAACAGTGACAGTGGCTGGGAACCCTGCAGCTTCCCCTTAGTGTCTGTTTCTGGACTTGTTACCATGAATTTCTCAGATCAGTTTTGCCCCTGTCCTGCCATCTGTGTCCACAGTTTACTGGGGCAGGAGATTCCAAAATTTCACAGCTTGCCATGTAAATAAGTACTTGTCTCTGTTTTAAACTGACCAACTAATCACAGTAAGTGCCAGTTCTTGCTATACTTATGTCTCATCATTAATCACTGAAACACTTGTCTGTGTTTGAAAGACTGTGCTAGCCTAGAGAATTTTCCACTGGCTCAGTGGGAGCTATAACTGTCAGCAGCACTTGATCTTAAAAGAGCAACTTAGAAAATCCACAGATGCTCCATTCAACAGAAGCAAATCCTCCCTCCACCAAGTGGTGTGGCTGTGGAATGCTAATTTCTGTATCCATGGTCATTGCATTTTGGCAACTCCACTCAGCTGGCTAAAAGGAGTAAGAAAGTATTTTTATCCATAAGGCCGTCCTGGAACTGCACCACTAGATGTATCCACTGGAAACTCCTTGAAAAGCAAGGCACATGAGGCTGCACGAAGAACTGTAAGAATGCAGCTGTATCCCTTGCAGTAGTCAAGCCGGATTGCTTGCTCCTCTGTCTGGTTGTTTGCTGCTCTGTACTGCGCAGAGGCACGAGCCCTGCTGTCCATACTGAGTGCCTGGGAGTAGAACCTCTCTCCATCCCCTATTCCTGATGTTAGATTACTTTTGCAAGACTAGGATAAATATTCATTGACTTATACTCACTTTAGTCATTAAACTCTAAAGCTATGTTTGGGCTTGATTCTTCTCTCATTTGTATTGCTAATCTTTTAATGTAGTCAATAGAATTACTCAGAGTTTTGGACCAGTCTAGCCTAAAGAGAATCTGGCTTATGGAAATGAAGAGATGACAACCTGTAACTCACAAAATGGCAGCACTCCTCAATTAAGCAACTTTGGTAGATGTATCCTCTTGTTTAGATATGGGTCTTTACATTTTACAAATCCAGGAGCTGATGCTTTCAAGCTGGTCTTAGAGAGGCGGAGCAAATTGATCACACAAGATATTATGGGGGGAAGAAAAACACAGACAATGTGAAACCGCTAAGCTCAATTTATGAAGTGGACCAAGTATTCCACCTTAGTCTCTGCTGCTGAATGTTTTTGCAGGTAGTTGTTGGCACAGGCTGCCAATCAAATGACTTCACAGTATACCTTCCCAGCAGCTTTGAAGATAGTTCTGTTGCTTGTTGATCCACTATCCATGCCAAGGCTCATTATGCTTAGTTCTTGCTTACATTGTCGTGTTGGCCATGGCTTACCACGGTCAGCCCCTGTTTGCATTGTACCCAGCTCTTGGCCAAAGCAAGGCTGTGACATGCCTATGTCACAGGCAAGCAAGAACCTCAAATTATTTTCACAATAAAAACTGAAGGGAATTA